ATCTCCTGCATTATTATCACCAACTTGCAAAGAAAATTAACTGTAGAATTTGTCTCTGCATTCAGTGTTAATCCCCAATAAGCTCACACCTCCTGACCTTGTTAGCCTGAGCTTTGAGAATCTAAAATAAAATCCTGCCTAGTAGGCCACTTCGGCTGCTTGGTTAATCCAGGAGATCTCTCAGGTCAAAGGCTTAGATTTAGCTAGGGCATTACTGCCTAATGTCTGAAACACTTTGCCCAGGTAAAGAGCCTTGGAAACCTGCAAGGAAGGGTCAGAGGCAGAGTTTATAGCATTATATGTTATCAGATTCTACTCCAAGTGTTTCTAAGCAAAGATCCATTGCACGCAGCAGTGATGCACTGGGTCCAGCCAGGCCCAGCAGGAAACTTACTCAAGCAAGTGCTGGTATCAGTAAAACATGAGCTCATCTCAGGCTGAGTATACTGATCTTCTATCACCTCATCTCAGCCTACCCACCCTTTCTTCTCCTAAAAGAGACTCCTGTAAATGTCTAGGTTTGACATTTGATTTTCTCGTTAGGGTTTTTTGGTTTTGATTTTGTTTTTGTTTGGGGTTTTGTTGGTGTTTAATTTTTATTTGGGAGGGGATTTTTGTAGTTTTGGGATTCTTTTTCCTTTAAAATCCACTGATGTTTATATTTAATTACCTTCCACACCAGATTGCTGTATCTGTTATATTTTCTACACAGCTACATGCCTACAACTATACTAAAGACTTCCTCTCTTACAGATGAAAGACTCAGAAACTACCTCACACACACTGTTCCTCACTGGGACAGCAGAAACAAGAAGCTTAGCAAACTTTAAACTTTCTTATTTCAAGATTATTATCATTTTTAGGAGTCTACTATGACAGCAACTAAATCCATTCATTATTCCTTACCTCAAATTCCTCATATTTTGGGGGGTTTTTCCACTGTTAGTAGGATTAAGGCCCTCAGTCTGCTATACTTCTAAATAACTAACTTTTATTCACCTTTTGTAGAAGGAGTAGGAATGCTAATTAATTCTCCACACCTGATAGAAATCAAATGTCTGAGGCATACTCCCTTTTTTTCCCCAGGTGTCTTAAGGAATCATAAGACAGAGACTGATGCTCCAATGGGAAGAGCAGGTGAAAGAGGGAAGCAAATACAGTGTTAGGTAAAGCCTTTCCTGTAGGTTTGTCAAGCCACAACAGAGAACTGAGACAGACAGACAGCCATGCAAACAGCAAAACCATTGTAGAAGTTCCCTTCTGCAGCATATTCTATCTTACAACAATTTAATGATGATTGTTGGTAGTGAATGATGAAAGGTCTCCTAGTCATGAGATGAAGCTGAGAAGGTAACATCCATGTGTATAAACATGCCCTATATTAGGAAACCCAGCTTACTCACAAAATGTGTGAGGGGAATCGTCAATGACATTTAAAGGCAACAGATTTACAGTGGACAAAAAGGGCATAATTTTCACACATAATTTTATACACAGTAATCAGTAAAATTGATCTGCTTTTTATGCAACTTGCAGTTTCACTGTCCTATTTCACTCAATGGGGCAAAAAGCCTTGTAAATTTGAAGAAAGGATTTCGCAGGCTGTCCTGGTTTAGGGCAAATTTGGGAGAGAACCTACAAATGGGGTCCCCCCAGAAAGCAAATTCAAGTGGCCCCTCCCCCAACTGGTTCAGGAAGAGATTTCTATAGAGAGTTTTTTAGCAGATGGGGGACATGATATATTAGTAAAGGCCTGTCTGCACAAACCAGCCTCTGGGTTAAGTCGTGATATTAAGGGCTAAAATCCTTGAAACTTGCCTGCAGAAAGTAAAACAATATTCCTGTGTACAAGGATAAGAATGTAAACTTGTGTGTACTAGCCAATAGTAGCTTGCTCTGCCCGCAAACCCTGTAGAACCCTATAAAAGTTGTGTTAATAATAGAAATAAACAGCGTTCACAATTACTTCTGTGAAGACTGGTGAACAGCTCAGGGGTCTTTCAACATCTGGCGCTCCGACCAAGGACACCCCTGTGGGCAGAGGGGCTTTGGAGTCAGCGGAGTGGATCTGGGCATTAGACGTCACAGGCTTGGATCGGCACCAGATAGGCAGCCTGAGCGCGGTGAGACGCAGAGCGGTAGGACATGGAAATTCAGGCTGCTGGAGGGGGCCCAGGCAAGGGCGTAGTAGAAGGGTTGCAACCTTCCCTCTTGCGGGTTGCCGTCAGCATGGAGGCAGAATTTGCGGCGGTGAAAAAACTGCTTCTCGGTATCCTCGTCAAACGAGGTGAAGCAGCCGGGGAAAAGGACCTGGATAAGCTCATTATATGGGTGAAAAATCGTGGGCACTTTGCAGTGCCCTCACTGCTTTTTGCAGTGGAAGAATGGATGGATGTCAGGAATCTGATGTGGGATACGGCCATCACGGGAAAGAGTAAAGATGTAGTAGCCCTCAGTTCAGTTTGGAAACTTGTGTTAAATGCCCTATGGGATATGAAGGCAGAGTCCTCAGTAGCAGCAGCTGCCATAGACGCTATGGCGCCGTCCGAGACAGACGCGCCGCAATCGCCCCCTGCCGAGTCCACGAGTCATTTGAGTGCATTTTTCGGGGTTGGGCATGTCTGGCCAGCGAAGGGGCTTACCAGGAAGCAGAGTATCACCGTGTCGGAACTTTTAAAATCCCAGGGGTGCGCCGATGCGGCTCCGGCCGCGCCGGCAGAGCACTCCGCGGTTCCGGCCACGCCGGTAGAGCCCTCTGCAGCTCCGGCCGCACCGGCAGAGCCTAAGCCGGAAGTTACCCTGCCGAATGCGGATGTAGAAATGACGACTCCCCCGGAAGGAGCGGGCATCAGCTCCAGCCAGGCGGAGCCTGATACGTCAGCAGAAACGAGAGCCACAGAGTGCAAACCAAAGATCTACCCTTCGATGCCATCTACCGTTCACTGGGGAAGACCGCAGGACATCCCTCTCCCCTCCGATGATGACATTTCTATGCACTCCGATGACGGACGGCTTGCAGCAGGAGCAGAACCAATTGATGACAATGCAACAGCAAAGAAGGAGCTACTGGGGTGGCAACATCAAATAGAGCAGCTCGTGCAGCAGCTCTAAGCTCGAACTGAACAAACCCTATGTGCGAATAAAGCACAGCCTCAACAAGAGAAAGCAGCTCTACAGCAAACACTGAGACAACGAGCAGAGTCAGTTCAACAACTACAGGATATGCTGTGTCCTGAACCGTCTGCTCCACCTTTGGAAACACTGTCAACACCACAACCTTGTTCTAGCTCTGTCACCCTGGAGGAAGAGAACAGAAAACACAGAGCACAGCAGAGGTGGTCCGGCATCATTCGAGATGCAATTCTGGAGGGAGAATGGCAAGCAGCAGGGGCAATTGCTTGTCCCATTTTGTATGATCAGCAGAATCCACGTTATGAACAGCATGACTGGAAGATCTTGCAGCAAGCCAAAAAGACAGTTACTGAGAATGGCATCAAATCCGAAGCTGCAAACACTGCATTGGACTGGCTGATGTTAACAGTCTGATGTTAACAGTCCCATAGACAGCCAAAATCTCGCATATCTGCTTTTAACTCCATCACAGCTTATGGTGTGGGAGAAGGAATAGAAGAGGTTAGCAGTTCTAGAAGCCAATCGACCTCGAGATCAAAATGATGTGTTATATGGACTTAATCCTGACATGCTCACCGGTTCAGGAGTTTACAGTCATATGGCTGTACAGTTAAACTACCCTCTTGCAATGCATCATTTGTCTGCACAGCTCGCTCGTCAAGCCTTTAATGCTGTGCCTGATTCAAAGCCTCATCCTTCCTTCACAACAATACGGCAAGGCCTCACAGAACCGTATCCTCATTTCATCGATCGTCTGTCAGCAGCCCTTAAAGCTCAGAATGACATGACTGAAGAGGCAAAACAGAACATGTTCAAACTGTTAGCTTTTGAGAATGCCAACTCGAAGATAAAGCCTATTCTTGCCACACTCCTAAAGCAAGCAGACGTGGGAGACATGCTAGATATTGCCCTGCGAGTAAATCAAATGCAACAAGGACAGCTAGTAGCCAATGCTGTTGCAGAAGCCATCAAGCCAACCACAAGTCTGATTGCTGCTGCTGTCAGCAAGCTGGGAAGTGGATGCAAACCCTCCCCCACACCTCCAGGCATCTGTTTTCAATGTGGCGACAGAGGGCACTTTCAAAAATTCTGCCCAGCTACTGTGTGGTGTGATCACTGCCAGACAAGCAAGCATGCTACTTCTGTATGTTGCTTTACAAAAAACATGATCAAGAGCGTGAGGAGCTGCTGCATGGGGACACAAGTTGCCGGCCCAACTCTATTCAGCAGCTCAACCCACCAGCAACACGGGGAAGCCTGGGAATCGATTTGGCAGCATCAGTAGATGTCACACTCATCGACAGCAATGTCCGCAAAATCCCAACTGGAGTTACAGGACCTGTTTATTCTGCTACCAGTGCACTTGGTGCTTTGTTGATTGGGAGATCATCTGCTGGAATTGCAGGACTTATTGTTCTCCCAGGAGTCATCGATGCTGATTACATTGGTGAAATCCAAGTGTGTGCCTACACTCTAGCTCCTCCACTTACAATCAAAAAGGGAACAAGAATTGCTCAATTGGTGTTGCTTCAAAAGGTGGCAACTGAGAAAGAGATTTTTCTAAGTGCTCCTGAACGCAGAGCCAAAGGATTTGGGTCAACAGGAGACACAGTGGTGAATCTCGTTCAACAAATGAGTCATCAACCAATAACTGAAATCACCCTGTGCCACAGATCAAAGCAGCAAAGAGTCAAGATGATGCTAGACATGGGAGCTGATGTCACCATTGTCAGCCGAGTCTGGTGGCCAAGAGAATGGCCTCTCCACAGAGCCTTAAACTCGGTACAAGGTGTAGGAGGATACTCCACGCCGCTGAGAAGTGTACACCCGGTCCAGTTTCGATTTCCTGAAGGATAGACTACCACCTTATGTCCCTACGTCATGCCTCTGCCTGGAACCCTTGGAGGGCTTGTTGGTTGAGACGTTCTCAGCCAGCTCGAAGCAACACTAACTCTCCCCAGTCAATCGCCTTTTTGGTAATCGCCACTGCTGACAGGCCGCCAACCCCAAGGATTCAGTGGAAATCTAATGAGCCTGTGTGGGTTGAGCAGTGGCCTCTATCCCAGGAGCGGCTAGCAATTGCGCATGAGCTTGTCAAGGAACAGCTACAAGCAAAGCATATCCAACCATCGCTCAGCCCATGGAATACTCCAATTTTTGTCATCCCAAAGAAGTCTGGAAAATGGCGATTGCTGCATGACCTACGCAAGGTAAACAACCAAATGTGGGCAATGGGAGCGTTACAACCAGGGATGCCCTCTCCCACAATGCTGCCACAAGAATGGTATCTTCTAGTCATAGATCTGAAAGACTGTTTCTTCACGATACCCCTGCAGAAAGAAGACACAGTGAGATTCGCCTTCACTTTGCCGTCAATCAACAAAGAAAGTCCGTCTCAGAGATTTGAGTGGGTGGTCCTTCCACAGGGGATGAAAAATTCTCCAACAATGTGCCAACTGTTCGTGCACTGGGCACTGACACCTGTGCGGGCCAAGCTCTCCCAGACAATTATTTATCACTATATGGATGACATCTTGTTTTGTCAACGTGATCCATTCCAAGATGATCTCACATTTATCACAGCCCAGCTCGCAGCAAAAGGCTTGGTGGTTGCCCCAGAAAAAATTCAAAGACAAGCCCCATGGAAGTACCTAGGGTGGATTTTGACATCTTCATCAGTCCACCCACAAAAATTGGAATTAATCACTGAGATCCACACCCTTAATGATGCACAAAGGCTTGTTGAAGATCTGCAATGGGTACGATCCATTGCCGGTATCCGAAATGATGAGATAGCAACCTTAATGAGCCTTTTGAAAGGTACAGACCCGCAAGCTCCGATTACCCTTTTGGCAGATCAAAAGAGCTGTCTCATTTATCTAGGGAAGAAACTGCTTTCAACACTAGCAGACAGAAGATTGCCAGATGTGCCTTTGGGACTTCTGATTTGTAACCACTCTGTTGCACCATGTGCTATCATCTTCCAGTGGCCTGCTTGGCAAAAAGAGAAAGGGGGAGAAGGCCCATCTAAGAGCCGTCGAGGTGCCAAGCAGCCTGCCAAGAAGATACAGTTAGCGCAATCAGCGAAGAAATGTGCAGAGCCTCTAGCGATCCTTGAGTGGATTTTTACACCATATACGCCACCAATGAGTATTTGGCAGAGGACAGAAGCAATTGCTTATCTCATCAAAAAGGCGAGAACACAAATTGTGGAAATTAGTGGTGCTGAGCCGGAACATATCAGTCTGCCAATAACAATAGAAAATCTTGAGTGGATGCTGAGACACTCAGAACCAATTCAATTGCAGACATTAGAACTTACAGCCGTCGCATGGGCACTGTCTCATTGGCGAGACAGTAAGTTGAACATTGTATCAGATTCATTGTACGTGGTAGGAGTGGTACAACGTATTGAAGACGCTCTCATCAAACCACCAGATAATAAGCGATTGTGTCAACTATTTTTTCAAATCAAAAGAGCTATAGAGGACAGAAATGAGCCCTGTTGCATCATTCACATCCACAGTCATCAAACAGAATTAGGTCTTGGAAAAGGCAATGCAAAAGCTGATACGCTTGTCAGTCCTGTTGTAGCAGCACCAAGAGACTCTTTCGCAGCTGCAAGAGAGAGTCATGCTCTCTTTCATCAAGCCGCAAAAGCCTTACAGAGACAATTTAACATCAGCTTAACAGATGCACAAGGCATTGTAAAATCCTGTCCACAGTGCAGTCAATATGGAACCACTCTAGGTTTAGGTGTTAACCCTAGGGGTCTTCAAGCCTGTGAGATTTGACAAATGGACGTAACACATGTGCCTGAATTTGGTCGCCTCAAATATGTACATGTTACAATAGATACCTTTTCAAAAATGGTTTGGGCCACTGCACAAGTAGGAGAAAAGAGCATACATGTAATTCGACATTTAGTAGCATGCTTTGCCATAATGGGAGTTCCGAAAGAAATAAAAACAGACAATGGGCCTGCATATGTAGGAACATTAGTTTCTCAATTCGTACAAAAATGGGGAGTCAAACATGTAACTGGAATTCCCCATGTGTCATCTGGACAGGCCATTGTAGAGAGAGCCCATAGGACCCTAAGAGAGTACTTGAATAAGCAAGGAACACCAGAACAGTTAGACCCTACCATTCGATTGCAGCAAGTGTTGTTCACTCTAAATTTCCTCAGTTCGGTTGGGGATTTAGAGCAACCCCCGGTGGTCATTCACAATAGTCAAGTAAAGATGCAAACTACCCCAGAGGTTAAGTTATATTACAAAAACCCAAAAACAGGTATCTGGGAGGGAACCAAGTCCATTGCTATTTAACGGGCGTGGTTACAGTTGTGTTTCCACAGATACTGGACCACTGTGGGTGCCTGGCCAATGGACCAAACCAGCCACGAAAGATCTGAGGAACAATCAGAATGTTGATGCCCTCAGTCAATCTCTGATCGTCTGTCAGCTGACACCACGAGAACAACAAATGTTTCAGGACTGAATTGTGTCAAATCATAGTCTGTTTGTGAGAAATTCCTGTGAAGATCTGAGAAGAGTGCAGAGACTCTATCTAATTGTGCACGAAACAAATTTTAGTTGTGTGTTTACCTTTTTGCAAATTGCTTTCACGCTTAGACTACATATATACCAAAGCACATGTGTTAAAGTAGATAGATAAGAGTTAAGATAAGAAGTTTAGTGTGTGTAGTGATTATTATATTAGTATAAGGTATAAGTATTCCCCCTTCAAGAGCTAGTGTAAGCATCTTTGAAAGTTCACTTAATGATCAAAGTTTTAGCCATGAGTTTGTAAACATGACGCCATTTGCATGGGACAAACTGCTTATGGTAATTGTGCTGTGTGTAACCCCAACCAGCTGTCTGCTGACTGATATCCAAAAGCGACAGAACATATGGGTCACCTTAGCACACCTGACCGGTCAAAAATCAATGTGTTTGAGCCTAGCTACCCCTGGAGATCCTTTTCGCACCTGTCTCATAGGAGTCCCTGAATGGGATCCTCCAGCCTTTAAAGGTTTAGTTAGCAACGAGACTCGACTAAATCGATCGATAATGCTGCAAGATTGCAACTGCACCATTGGCTTCACATCTAGACAATTTGAAGCCTGCTGGCAAGCGAAAATTATTGAGGTTCTTAATGTTACCATGAGACCCCCCAGAAGAGTTAGATCTGCTAGGTTCCACCAATACCTCAGGTGGATGGATGATGTTTGAGCCCCCAACAAAAAATCATCCTGACAAAGCAACACAGCGCTGGGCTACAGTCAACCCCATAGTTGATCTCGTTACTGCCACTGAGAGTAAAGCTTTTTACTCACGATGCAATCTCACAGGACAATTACCAAAGCACTTACCTAGTTCCATCTTCCTAATCTGTGGGGATAGGGCATGGAATGGAATTCCTGCTAGTCCACATGGAGGGCCATGTTATCTTGGGAAACTTACTTTGTTCCACCCAAGCTTACATCAATTGCTGAATGTGGCTGACAAAACGAAAATCAATAGACGGACCAAGCGAAGCCTAAATGAGTTACAGTGTAATGATGTTAGAAACCCAGACTTTTGGAATCGCGGTATAATCTGGGCAACCTCCTTCTTCATTCCAGGAGCAGCTGCCGCCAAAAGTCTAGCCACTCTAAAAAAGGCTCGCTTGCTGGACTAGGAAAGAATTAAACTTAACATCCACAATGTTGAGTGAACTTTCAGCCGATGTGAGTAGTGTACGTCATGCAGTACTACAAAACCAAGCTACAATTGACATTTTGCTCTTAGCGCAATGACATGGTTGTGAGGAGTTTGAAGGCATGTGCTGCTTGAATCTTACTGATCATTCAGTTTCCATCCATAAGCAACTACGCCAGCTACAGGATGGGTTACATGCCCTGAAAGAAGTTAGTAACCCCACTGAGAGTTGGTTCGCCAGCTGGGGCATTACTGGGTGGTTGAAGTCTCTTGTGCTAGAGGGGGGACGAATGCTATTTATAGGGATAATGGTGATAATGCTTGTAGGTTGTATGCTATCTTGTGTTCGTAGAAGTGTAGTACAAGCCGCATCCAAAGCCTGGTTTGTGCAAAAAGGAAACGGGGGAATTATAGAGAGTTTTTTAGCAGATGGGGGACACGATATATTAGTAAAGGCCTGTCTGCACAAACCAGCCTCTGGGTTAAGTCGTGATATTAAGGGCTAAAATCCTTGAAACTTGCCTGCAGAAAGTAAAACAATATTCCTGTGTACAAGGATAAGAATGTAAACTTGTGTACACTAGCCAATAGTAGCTTGCTCTGCCCGCAAACCCTGTAGAACCCTATAAAAGGTGTGTTAGTAATAGAAATAAACAGCATTCACAATTACTTCTGTGAAGACTGGTGAATAGCTCGAGGGTCCTTCAAGAGATTTCCTTGGAGAAAAGTGAAAAAAACTATTTAACAGAAATTGAATAATACTAAACAAAAACCTCTCGCTGTTCAATGAGATGGCAAATCCAGAAAAGTCTTTTTCATGTGGTGTAGCTCAGCTCACTCAGGTTCTTATCAGTCCCTTCAGGGCTGGAAAGTGCCAAGGCCCAGGCCCTGGTGGGCCACAGGCATGAGCTCCTGGGGATTGGCTGGGTTTTCAGTCCAGGGCAGGTTTGAAGAGAACCAAGAAAAAGGGGAAAAAAGTCCAGGGAAACTTCTCTGCCTCAGCTAGCTAAAACCTAACTAAAAGCAAAGGAGAGCTCTGTCCCGCTGTCTGTCCATGCTGCAGACACCACAGTCCAGGAGCAGGATGCGGGGCAGTGAGTGTTTTTCCTCAACACAAACTGCACGTTTCTTCTTCCCCAGTTCTCTCTCAGAGCCAGTCTTAAAGGTGCAGAACTTAATATGTAACATAAACAAGGTGACTGAGGATACAAGCATCATAAAGTCAACACAGGACACAGGCATATGCACAAGATTAACATCTGCTAACTGTTACCCAGGAAAATATCTTAAAAGAAAATATCACCATTCTCTAGTTTCAGGACACAGGACTGCCTATCCTTGGAGGTCAAGAATTCCCCTTATACTATTACCATATTACCACAGCGGTTTATTTATGAACACAGATCATATATTTCCTAAATGTGCAATCTTGATAAAATATCTGAGCAAAATGTTGATCTCAAAAAGAAAGCATTGTTTTTAAGACCATTTTCTGGATTCTGTTGAGCATCTGCCAATTTATTGAGAAATGTCTATATTTCACATTTTACAGGCTTTTGTAACTTTTCTGAGCATTGACACATAAAATGAAGATCAGTTTTCTATATTTTGCTTTCACAAGTGAATGCTCACACAAAGCTTTGGGGACAGGGTGACCACACAGTGACTCTCTCAGATAGGCTTCCTTAGTCAGTGTTTCTCAGGAGTGTGGCTCTCTGCATTATAAAACTTCTTCATGTAATCTCAAAATCTACCTGTGGATCTGGAGTAAATATAGCAGTGCAAGAACTAATAAAGGGTTTCATATTTTTTGTGATTAAAAGCATTAGGCCTTAGGGTTTAGTTATCATTATTATTTAAAATCATAGTTTTATAGTAATAAAGTATATTTTAAAATTAAACTGAGAAAAAAAAAAGCCAGTGGAAAAAACTCAACAGCAACATGACCATTTTCTCCTTTTTTTCCCCTGTATCCTTCAGTCATCAGTCTGTTATTTATATTTCTGATTTTGGCTAGATCAGTATTTTTAACTATTTCAGTTCCATGTCCTGTTTGCACAGGTGTCTGATACAGGTGGAAGCAGAACGTATGAAACAAACAAGTGTCTTGATTTGGAAGACAGGTGTCTGCTAGGGAAGGCAGGAGCCTCCCTTGGAATGAAAAATGTAAACCCCCTCCCTCTGAATTATTATAATTTTGAAATTAAGGGGCTCTCAGGAAGAGATCTGGGGATAGGAATAATAAGTTCTTTACTAGTACGTATAACAAGGCAAACAAACAACAGGAACAATGGCAATGTCCTGAGGTGACTTTATGCTTGTATACCCAGTTGTCTGCTCTGTTTATGCTGGATATTAAGTTCTGCACCTTTAAGACTGGTTCCAAGAACAAACAGCAGAAAAAGAAGAACCCATAGTTTGTTTTCAGAAACAGCACTCACTCACCCACATGCTTCTTCAGACTGTGTTGTCTGCAGCATGGACAGACACAGGACAGAGCTCTCCTTTGCTTTTAGTTAGTTTTTAGCTAGCTGAGGCAGAGAAGCTCCCTGGACTGTGTTTTTTTCTTTTTCCTTGGATCTGTTCAAACCTGCTCTGGACTGAAAACCCAGGAAAACACTGGGAGCTCTCGCCTGTGGCCCACCAGGGCCTGGGCCTCAGCACTTTCCAGTGCTGGAGGGACTGATAAGAGACTGAGCAAGCTGAGCTACACCCCCCAACAAGGACTTTCTAGATTTGCCATCTCTTTGAACAGTGAAAAGTTTTATTGTTTAATATTATTAATTTTTTATGCTTGTAGATTCTTTGCTTGTTAAGTAGTTCTTTTCCACTTTTCTCCACGGAAATCTTTTCCTCAACCAGTTGGGGGAGGGGCCACTTAAATTTGCTTTCTAGAGGGACCTCATTCATTCTCCCAGATTTGCCCTAAACCAGGACAGACATTAATAAGAAAACAGAACCAGGGACCCCATGACAGCCTTCTTGGCCAAGATAGGAAAGGATGGAGGAAGGCAGTTGTCCCAGTGCCCCTGGTGGAACAGCCAGCTGGAACAGCAGGAATGAGTAGAAATCGTGGGCAGGTAGACAAGATG